GTAAAGGAGGAGGAGGGGGGGGGGGGGGAAGAAAGGGGGGAGAAATGCCGTGTCAGTGACATCCTACCGGCCGGGGCTCACCCCTGGGGGTCAAGGGACAAATGATCGGATGGCACCTGGCGAGGATGGCCTCGGAGTAGGTCTCGCAGCGAATGAATCGGAGACAGTCACGCAAGAGCGTGGCACTGGACCCGGGAATGTCGAAGGGGATGCTTTTGAGAGCGGCCGGGGGGGCATCCTTTCCAGCGGCTAAGGTGGCGCATGACAAAGCACAAGCCCGGGGTCAGCACCCTGTCAGCACATGAAGTCGGGTCGCCATGCCGGCCATTTCCTATGGCGTCAAAGGTGACGAAAGAACGGGCAATCAAGCGGTCGGGCGTACTTGTCAGCGAGCCACCAGGTTTCGAGTCCAGGTGCTGCTCGATGTTGCGCAGGTATTCGGCCTCGCTGGCCCGCCGACCGGACAGCATGTCGGCCCGCAGGGTTTTGAAGATGTTGATCTGCAAGCAGATGCCCAAGCACGCAAGTCAGTTACCAAGGACACCGGGTGATAGATGCACGTCCGAGGGAGATGGGGAGAAGAGAGGGAGACGGGTAGGAAGGCATGCGGATGGGAGGCCGGGCGCAGCCGGTGGCAGCAGCAGCAGCAGCAGCAGGATGGAGGGGAGAGAGAGAGAGAGAGAGAGCAATAAAAGGAAAGGAAGGACAGCAATAGCCAGGGCATCGGACCATTAGATCGCGCATATTGCTGCCGCGGAAGTAGGCCAGAAGTTGGAACCAGAACTCAAGATGCAACTGCGACGCATTGACCAAATAGAGGTAAACCAGCTCCGCGGCGGTGGAGATGATGGACGCGGTGTCTGTACGTGCCCCAGTGCAGGGTCAGTCATCGATGGAAAGACATGTGAATAAGCAGGACCATCAGGATGCGAGCCAAACGGAGGAAGAGCGCCCGCGTCGCATGCCGCCCACCGCAACGCCCGAAGGAGGCCGCCCATGTCCCATGAGAGCCCCGAACATGGTGATGGCGATGGCGATGGCGGTGGCGATGGCGATGACACCGGTGTGCCAGTGATGACGTACCCTTTTTGCCCCGCAGCGCCAGGAAGCGCCTCTTGATGCTGCTGAACTGCAGGGTCTTTTTGGAAGCCTGGGCATTGGAGAGGAACAGATCCCGGAAGGGCATGCGGCTCTTGGGCAGCGGCCGCGGGGGGTCGTTCCCGGTGAGCGTGACCATGGTGACGAACCCCGGTGGCGGGGCGGTGGATTTCCTGAAGCGCCAGATGATTGAGCAGCAATGCCGAGGTCAGTGGTCGATCGGAGGAACATGCCAGGCCGGCGCGGAGCCATGGTCAAACACAGGGAAGCACGCCCGGCTGGTCGGGCGGCTGGGGCACGCACTTTCGGCCGGTGGACTTTTCCGAGCGCGAGGAGGACTTCTTCTTGGAAGAAGACTTGGAAGCCGTGCGCCGGCGCTTGGTCGGAGGCTCGTTGACTTCGGTCTCGCCGGTTCCGGTACCGGACAGCACGAGCAGGCATGTATGCTTTTGGCCCGGCAGCGGAGCGAAGCTGACCACCAGCTGAAGAGAGAGAGGAAGGAACAGGAGGCAGTCGGGCGTGTGAGTGCAAGGCCTGTGAGGAGATAGAGAGAGAGAAGGGGGGAGAGAGGAGCATGTGTGTGTGCGTGTGTGTGCGTGTGGTCGGAGCGAGAGGAAGCAGGGGTGCCGGCTGGATGGTCGACAGGCAGCCAGTGGTAACTATGAGCAGCACAGCCACCGGGCCTGGGCCGCCCGGGCCGAGCACCGGATCGAGGACATACCTCCTCCTCGCCATCGTCAATGAACGGGTCGGCCGTGTCATACTCATCATCATCGCCGGCGGCCTTGGAAGAGCGCCGGCGCTTGGGCTCGGCATCAGCACCAGCCCGGCGCCGGGGCCGGCTACTGGACGTGGCGGCCGTAGTGTCATTCGTCGCAACCAGCAGGTGCTGAATCTCGCGGTGGTAGCGCCGGAGGCGTTTGCTCTGTGTGCCGACCGATGGCGGGGGGCGGGGGGAGGGAGGTGTGCATGTGCCCGGAGACCCGGGTGGCCAGGCAAGGGAACATACTCGGTGAGTAGGCAGGAATGTAGGCACATGTGAGCCAGAAAGACAGGGCGCACCGGGAAGGGAGTGATCTCCACGAAGTTGCTCCAGTTGAAGTTGTCGAGGCGGAAGATTCGCGGCACGGTAGACGCCAGGGTCGCCGGGCGGTGAGCCGCCGAGAAGGAGGTCAGCTGCGCCTCATTCGGATCATCTACCACAGACAGGTCCTCGCCGGCCTCCTCCTCTTCGGCACCGGCCTTCGACGAGGTGGCAGCCGCCGGGGAGGGCCCGGCAGCCTGCGGCTGACTGCTGGCCGCTGCCGTGGCATCAGCCATGCGGAACATGCTGGACAGGGTGACTTGGCCTTTGACCGTGGGCGCCAAGGGGACCACACCGGCGGTGGCGGCCACAGCCGGAGCGCCAGGAGCAGCAACAGTGGGAGCAGCAGTGGAAGCAGCAGCAGCAGCAGCAGCAGCAGCAGCAGCAGCAGCAGCGGTGGCAGGATCATTCGCAACTGCGGCAGCAGTGCCGGCGACCGGCGCCGAGGGAGGTGAGGGGGCAGTCGCGGCAGATGCCGCTGCTGCTACTGCACCCGAGGCGGATACATTCATGACATCGGAAGCAGCTGGCACATCACCCGGCGCGGCTGACCCTGCGGTCGCCACCGATGGCAGCAGGGCCACCGGGTCGGCGGCAGGCTCGGACCCCGTCGGCAGGCCCAACTCCTCCGGCTGCCCGGCCGCACCGGGTGATGGTGGCTTGGCCAAGCTCGAGACTGGGAGCGAGGAGGACACCACCACGGTCCCCGGCCCGGGCAGGGGGGGCTCCCCGAAACCGGGCTGCTTGGCTGCCGGCTGCTCCGACGAGAGGGACATGTACCCCAGCACCGGAGCCGCATGCATCCCTGGCAGGGACTCCCACGCAGAGCGGATGACCCGCTGCGGAGGACGCGTCACGCGTAGACCCCCAAAAGGCAAGGCCACGCGCATGTGGCCGGACCCCGTGGCACCCGGCCCGGGGAGGTCGACCGACGCCAGAAGCGTGTCATCGGTCGGGATGGAGTGGAAATCCGAGGACATCGGCAATTCGGCGGCCAACTGCCGCTCAATCAGAGTGATCCGCTGGGACAGGACATGCTGCTGTGAGGGGGGCATGAGCGCCGGGACCGGGCGTCGGACGCCAGCGCCATCATCATCCTCGTCATCCTCATCCAGCTCATCATCCTCATCGTCCTCCAGGTCCACCTCGATGTCGCCCTCGTCCTCCTCGTCCTC